GACAACCTAATATACGGGGGGGGGGGGAGAGAGAGAGAGGGAGAGAGAGAGAGAGAGAGAGAGAGAGAGAGAGAGAGAGAGAGGAGAAACAAGATTGTTTAGACAAGTAAAGTCTGAGTATGTTATACATCTAAGGACAGAAGAGGATCAGCAATCAGACAGGTGTTTGCAGGGTCCAAGAAAAGGCCAAGACTAAAGATGAAGATTTAGAGACCCTGGCATCAAAATGCCATTAAGTGGCCCTGGACTGAGATTGTGTGGTGGTAACAAGAAAGCATAGGAGTCCAAACATGATTGTTTAGACAAGTAAAGTCTGAGTATGTTATACATCTAAGGACAGAAGAGGATCAGCAATCAGACAGGTGTTTGCAGGGTCCAAGAAAAGGCCAAGACTAAAGATGAAGATTTAGAGACCCTGGCATCAAAATGCCATTAAGTGGCCCTGGACTGAGATTGTGTGGTGGTAACAAGAAAGCATAGGAGTCCAAACATGCACAAAAGAAATATTATAGTTAAGCACCAAATATTCTCTTAGACCACAGTATTAAACTTTGATTTCATACAAATAACAAGACCAGAAGTAATCTGAATCACTTTAAATGACTTGTGAGTTCTTTTAAAGAATTCCATCAATGAGGGCTGGAGAGATGGCTCAGCAATTAAGAACACTGGCTGTTCTTGCAGAAGACCTGGGTTCGAATCCCAGCACCCACATGGCAGCTAACAACTGTTGGTAACTCCAGTCCCAGGAGATCCGATGGCCTCTTCTGACCTCTGGGGGCATTGCACAACATGGGTGCACATTACCTACATGCAGGCAATCCACGCATACACATAAAATAAAAATAATAAATAAAAACAATTTTTAAAAAGAATTTCATCAATGAATTTTATATTAAAATATCCCTAATAACCTCTAAAATGTGTGGGAAGTTCAGGCATTTGTGTGTGTGGCAGTGGCACATCCAATGAGTGATGGTTAGAATGATGCAAATACAAATACTCCATGCGCATTAAACTACATGTCACAAAGCCTTATTTGAGGTACACTGAGACCTAGGCAATGCAAGACATTCTTAAAAAAAAAAAAAAAGAATGAACATTTTTGGTGAGAGAATAGCTTAAACTGAACTGACTGCCTTGTCTCAGAGATGTGAGTCTTCTAACATTCTGTTCCACCCCCTCAGCTTCTCAAACTTGAGTCCTGTCCTAGCCTGGTTGACCTACTTTAATTTACTTTAAAATGTTTGTTTCATTTATTCAAAAGAATAAATTCAGGAGTGTGCATGTATCAATTAAAACGATGACATATAAAATACAAAGTCCCAATTTGAGGTATGCTGGTTTGCAGAAATGTTGAAAGTTTACAAATGCATGGCCTCACAAAAATTAAAGTAAATAGACCTAAACTAATTCTCACCTCATAATTTATCTTACATCATGCAACTGGTTCTTGAAGAACCACTTTGAAAGTTAAGAAATAGTTCAACACTATACATCATAAAAATTCCATTTATGTTTTGCTTTCAGATCTCTTTACAAGTGTCTGTCTTCTTTTGGCAGTGACTAAGGGACAGAAAGACTGAATTTATAAAGATATTATAACACACACACACACACACACACAAGAATTCACTCAAAGATCAGTTTTGTTTTGAAAACTTTAAACAAGTGCCAGGGATTTTACAAGTAAGTAGCTGAAACTCCAAAGTACTTGGTGACTTGGACAAAAGCTTTATATATATATATAGAATACAAGCTGAGCATCTTGTTTCATGACTAAGCAATTTTAGTGAATAATGTGCTTCAAAGATTCCTTAAATGTATTTTGTAGAGATATAAATATGGAATTTATAAATCTTAATTAAATCTTAAGTCATAATCACATAAAAATTTAATATTTTATTGCTTGACATTTCAGTTTTATTCTAAAAGGAAATATAATAAATAAATAAAACAAGAGAAAAATAAAGTATGAAAGAGTAGATTTAATAGAAATGCCACTTGTTCAGTGACAAAGGCAAATTAAGAGATAGTTTCCTTTAAAACATTATTCACATTCCTCAGTCTGCTTCATTTACTTATATAACTAGCTGTTTATAGAAAATGTACTTTTCAACAGCCAAATGAGTCTATTTCAGTGATCAGGAAAACTCAATTACAAAAAGTAAATGTTTAAATTCCAAAAAACACTGTAAACAAAATGAACTTTTTCATATCAGGTAAGCTGAATAAACTGTAAACTAAAATGTATATTTTCAAATTCCTGCTTTGAAAATTGCAAAATCCATACTGCAAAAGTATATAAAATCGGGGTGAATGGAAACAACGAAGTCTCTATTTTCCATAAATAATTATGTGAAAACCTGCAAAGAAACTAAGGGCTGTACATTTATTCAACAGCAGAAGAAACAGCTGCTACTTTTCCCTTGCCAGTTATGTAGTCAACCCGTCACTCAGTATAAACCAGATAAACAAATAAAATGAGAAGACTGCAGCTATTAAAGAACTAAACTCATTAGGAAACAAAACATTGATGGAAGTGACATTCTTCACACAGAATTAAGAGAAGATAGAGTCCAGAAACCAACTAAAACCTAGGACAGAAATATGCATATGTGTGTGGGGTGGGGGGCAACAGGTGAAAGGTAAAGTAATTTCAGTAAGTTGTACACTTCCACAGTAGACAATGAAATCACTATTAAACCTGGGGTTTGAAAGAGTCTTACCAGAGTGAGGATTACAAATGATGCATAACGCAGTTAGGAGCAGAAGGATGCTGGGCTTCCATTTCCAATGGCAGCACCACATTCCACCTGAGTCAAACATCCTACAATGAATGACAGAACACTACAGTCAGGGCAGGCATCTATCACTCAATAAAGCATTAGGACAAATGGTACAGAGTGTGCATTTCCAGTAGGGACCAAAAATTGAAACTTTTTTGGTCTGGTTTTCAAATAAAGAACTTGTTTTAGGGATGGTATCCAGGGCTTCATGTATACAAGGCAAATGTTCTACCACTGATCCAAGTCCCAAGAAATTTCAAAGATAATGAGGACTCAATCATCTCCTTAAAGCAAAAGAGAAAGAAATCCAGGGTCTAAGGAGCCAGTAAAGTACTTGCTGAGCAAGCCTAAGGATCCAAGTTCAGTGCTCCAGCACCCATATAAAAAGCCAGACATGTGGGCACATGCCTGTGATCCCAACACTGGGGAGATGGAGTCAGGAGGAGACGTCGGAGCTTGATGATCTGCCAGACCAGCTTCAGCTTCAGTGAGAGATCAGGTTTCAAAACAAAAGGTGGAGAGTGATTGAGAAAAACACAGGACAACTTCTGGCCTCCACATTCATGTGCACACATATGTGCACAAACACAGGTACACATATACTACCCATACCTACATACACACACACGCACACATGACATATACAAACACACATTCATTTATTTTATTTTCCACTTGGTTGTACTTACCTTGTAAGAATATACATAATATGTAATTTCTAAATGAAGATGAGTAAATATTCAGATACTATGAGAAAAAAAGCATCATTTATCAAAAACTAAACAATTTCACCTTCGATCTGTTTAGTCTCACCAGATATCAGTGCCAGTCTAGGTAAATAATTATATGAGTCTCCCCTGTAATAGCTAAGATTTGAAGAGAATTTTTTCATATGATAACATTAGCTGTCCAATGGGAATATTTAAAATTAAGTTAAATTTCTCAAGCTCTCTTCTTCCCCTAAAATGAAATGCTGAAGAATTAACATTCCATAATACTGAATTTGTTATAGGTAACAGTATCAATATTTTTAAGTGGATAGTAATCACCAAGTAGTTCAGAAACTAGTAAGTAATCTCAGGTGCATGGATGGTGCTATGAAAACTCTCAGTCCTTGTGTACGGCAGTGTTATCTTTCTTCATTTAAAAATTACATTTATTTATTGTGTGTGTATGTGTGTATGCATATGCACACACACAAGCCCCCAGTGTGTGTGGAGGTCAGAGGAAAAGTTGTGGGAGTTGTTTCTCTTCTTCCATCATGTAGGTACTAGGAATCAAACTCTTGGAGCATCAAGCTTTGCAGCAAGCACCTTTAACTGCTAAACCATCTCACTGGGCCAGCAGTGTCATCTTTAAACTGATAAATATATTTAACAAAGATTTAGGAGGGAGGATGTGACCTTAGCTGCATGTGAGGGGAGGGGCAAAGGATATATATATATATATCACCAAGAGGCACCTCTCGAGAGAACCAAGGGGCACCTCTCTCACTATTTTGTGGGGTTCTCAGGAGGTCACAAGATCTGCATTTGAATGTGGACTTTATGGCATAGCTGTAAATGTGGGGCTCCCACTCTTCTGTAAATAAACCCCTACCCTATGCTTTGTTAAAAAATAATAACTTTTTTTAAATGGAAAAAAAAATTTTATAGAAGGGATGATCCATACTGTTTGGGTTACAACACATTCTATAAGTCAGTGCCATCAAAAGAGGCCCACCTGAAGGGAACAACAGGAAAATATCAGTTGTTTCAAGGGGCCACAAAAGGGCTGGTACTCTGGAGAGAGAAGGGCAAACAGGTGCTAATGCAGTGGGAAGAAATTGCCAAATCTTTGCCAAAAAGCACCCACAGAGACAGTATAACCATAACTAGCACTTGAGAGTAATTTTTTTTTCTAACAGGAAAAATAACTAATGGATATTTTACAGCCACAGTAATACCTTTCTTAAGCCCAACGTTTAAAGTTCACAATACTAAACAGAAAGCAAGAACACAAAAAGGAAAACACTCAAATGGGAAAGCAGACATCTAATGATGCCATTACTTGCCTTAAGACTATATTATGAACCTTTATTTTACTGAAAGAGACAATGTTGTATCAAAGAAAACAGGCATTACAATGACAAAGATGTGTTTGCTACTTATGATCTGTGCAACTCAGGAAACTGACTTGACCACTTGTGCCTATTATCTCTAAAATAAGGAGCAGTGGTGTACATAGCCTATAGCACCACCAAGATTATTAAATAAGATAATATTTTTAAAAGACAGTACTTAATATTCAGCAAGTGTTCAATATCAGCTGTTCTTATCATTACTATCATCCCAGACATTCTAATGTGAGCCCATTTAGTTTGTCTACCACGTGATCAAAGGAAAAGACTTATCAACAATGGACATTAGGCCCAATCTCATTTATCAACGTCCATGTAGTGACTTTATAGTCACTTCTGGGATCACCTGGGAACTAGAAGAAACAGTTTACTTATGTCTGCTATAATACATAAATTTTCTGTAGCCTGGAATTCACATCACAGTGTTGTGCTCCACAACTCCACATACAAGACCCAGCAATAGGCAGCTGTCTTTCTGGAATTTCTAAACTAGGACAAGGTTAAGACCTGAAAAGCATATTTTGTATGGGAGGCATGTTTTCAAATATGTCTATCCAAAATATTTGAAGCTAAAAACAGCTACTGCTTAAGAGAAGTGTGTTTGAGTTAGTAATAATAATAATGATGTGGGTATGGAATGGTCGAGGCTTATGTGCTGTTCCTCCATTAACTGTGTGGTTTGGGGATAGGCGCCTTCAACTGTGAGCCTTGTTGCTCTTCTGTAAATAAGCTATTACCCACCAAAAGAACTGCTATCTCTCATTCACTGTATTCAGCAGGGACTTTCACAAGAGGAGGCTATAAAGTCTGTCATAAAGAAAGTTCAATTATTTGGAAGAATGGACCCATTTCCTATTGAAGCTGCATGAATGAGGTGTTCCCCCATTCATGCTGGGGATGAATGGCTATGCTTCTAAAACAAAAGAACAACTATACATTCAAAGAAATTTAGAGCAAACACTGGAAAGCCCAAAGATGATGTGTGGCTTATGATTTTCACAGAACAGGAAACTGAGGTCCAGCAAAACTAGAGATCAGAGCTGGCAGCTAGCCTTACAGAGAAAATGATATCAGTCTCCCAGTTTTTTACTCTGTGTGACACAGGACAATTTTCCCCTATCACTATGTGAATAACGCCCCCTCTCTTAAGTTCATACATGCTCAAAAACAGTTCCAAGAACCGTGCTTCTCTGCCTGGATGCCACACTGTTTATCTTACATACAACTTCTCCTTTCCTATAAAAGGCTCTGACCTTTAGAGATTCCATATCCAATCCTCAAGTTGTTTTACCAAAGCTGCCTGCAATCCTATCAGGCAATATCTAGAAATGAAGATCAAGGCTTGATGCATTCCAGGGCTCAAGACTTCATCACTTCAGACAGAAGGGGAACCCAGAACACAGTAAGAAGTCTAACCAAACATAAAACATTTGACAAGCCAACTTTCACCCACTTTATGTTTACTGAAGAACAGAAACAAATAAATTAAGAATAGAACAGAGGAAGGAAAGCACTGTGGGTCTTCTCAGGGGATCACTTAGCAAAGACACATCTCTGAAATTTAAACAACTTTCTCATAAGAGCGGAAATTTTCAAAGAGGGTTATAAGGTTCTAAATGAGATTACAGCTCAGCAGTCTTTTATTGACTTGATTGTAACCTCTGAGTTCTACCAATGAGAACAGAAACAATTTTTAAGAGATTTATTTGCGTGTGTGTGTGTATGTGTGTGTGTGTGTGTGTGTGTGTGTGTGTGTGTGTGTGGTGCGTGTGTGATATATGCTAGTGCCCTAGAAGGCTGGCAGAATATACAGCTGGAGTTACAGTCACTTGTGAGTCATCTGATGTGGAAGCTGGGATCTGAACTCGGGTCCTCTGAAAAAGCAGTAAGCACTCTTCACAGTGGGGCCATCTCTCCAGTCCCCAGAAACATTTTAAAGTAAAATGGAGCCATAGCTTTATAAAATTTGAAAGGAATCTTTTTACATTATGAACTCATCTCATGGGTAAGAAAATAATAGACTAATCTACAGATCCATGTTACATAATCAATGGTCAGGTAGAAACCCTTTATGTTACCTGGTTTCCAACCCCAACTGTCCTTTTTGAGAATCAGGTTATCTCTAGGCAAACTTGTTCCCCTTTTCAATCTGTATAGACTACAAAATACAATATGCTTGAGGCTTTTTTCAGAAAGCTTTAGAGAAAGCCTTTCTACAGGGATTACTTCAAATGGAGGTATAAGCCCTCATAGACATGACTTCATCCAAATTCATGAGTGAAATGACTTAAAAACCTGCCATCACCAGGTATAGCATGCATGCCTTTTACTTCAGCACTTGGGAAGTGGAGACAGGCATAGCTCTATGAGATTGAGGCTAGCCTGGTCTAAATAGTGAATTCCAAGGCAGCTGGGGCTGCAGGTGGCCCCTATCTCAAAAGCAACAACAGCAAACTGCCATTTTCCACTGCTGCTAGTGGTTTCACCAAAGTCATAATTTAAATAGAAATGAGTGAAGAAAATTTGAAATTAATGGAAGCATTCATAGGGTATTAGTGCTTCTAGTACCAATAGTCAGAATTCACTTCCTTGTCTATATTTCAACCATGTTCCTATGGCAAATCTTTTTACAGTGGGGTTTGGGAGTGGCAGAGAGAATACCTGAATTCTACCAGAATAAAAAGAATAGCAATTTAGCCTATTCAAGTCTGTTTATAATAGTGGTTCTTCTTTTGGTGAAAGATCATGTTCCTGAGAGTAGGCAATGCACAAAAAAACGAGAAAGTGCTATCTTGTTGCTAAAGTCAAAGCCTTTCATTAAGCTGGGTTCACCCCTGCTTCCAAAAGTCTCATTTGCTTTCCAGGTCTTTGTAAATCTTGCCTTATTTGAACAAGAACATGCATAACTGGCTTGTATCGTAAGTCAACCTGAGAATTTGCACACACACACACACACACACACACACACACACACACAGAAAAGAAGTGTCTGAGGAACCTACAGGCAGCTGAACCCAGGAACAAGCTAGATCAGGGCAGCCATGCTGATACCTTCTATTAGTTCTCTTTCCTGATATTCTTTGCTGCTTCAGTCAAAGTGGGAGGTCACAGATACACCAGTGTAGCTGATTGGCATAGCTTGGGCGGGGTACCGCCTGTTTCTAATCAAAGTGGGAGTCAGTGCTATACCACTGTAGTTGATTGGCACAGTTTGGGAACCACCTGTCTCCTGAATGCCCTTGGCTTAAGGACAAAGAGTCGACTGCAGGTAGAGAGGTCATTGTGAGCCAACAGATAAGACCATCACTGTGGTAAGTTTGAAAGATTAACGGGCAGGTTAAACAGGATCTCTCAGAGCACAAAACTAGTGTCCACTGTACGTTTTTAAGAGGATGGCATAACACGCAGTGTTAAGCAAACTTACTCAATCTGAACTTTTTTCCCAGAGTAGGCTGGAGAAAGCGATATTGTATTACTATCCTGGTTTTTACCCATAGTTGAGCAAATTGTTCTAAGGATGGAACTGGACAAAATGTATATGGGAATCTTACCTTACTATACTTTTTAAACAACTGCAATTGAAACTATAAGTATCTCAACATTTTCAGATGGAAAAAATAAACTCTGAAGCCTTGATACATGCCACTTACTTTTAGAAGATTCTGGAAAAATATTACAGGGTAGGGGAAGTAGGGAATGATGAAAAAAATTAGACCACTGTTTACAGTAGGTGGTTCTGGAAGACAGAAACAGGGTTGTCTTTGTATTTTTCAAAGATTTATTTTATTTTTATTTAAATGTATGGGGGGCACCTGTGTGCAGCTGCTCTTAGAGTCTAGAAGAGAGCATTGGATCCCCTGGAGCTGGAGTTACAGGTGGTTGGGAGCCCCCTCTGTCACATAGGGTACTGGGAACTAAACTCCAGTCCTCTAGAAGAGCAGCAAATGTGCTTAACTGCTGAGCCTTCTCTCTAGTCACCCCCCCTTAAGATGTGAAGCTTTTATAGCTTTAAAATTATTTCCAAGAAAGTTAAATGTACTCACAATTTACTGAAGTGTATCCACGCTTTGATCACTGTTAGCTGATAGAGGCGTCTCTTGTGGATTTCCTTTATTTGGTTTGGCATGATCAAGTCAAATACATAATTTTCTATTGCAATATAAATATTTTTCTTACTAATTTGTGATTTTTTTTACCAGTTCTATCCTAAACACGTACACTTTTATTATATTTTCTGTTTTAAATAAATTAATCTTGTTTTTTTTGAAGCACTCCAAATAATTCCATTCTGTGAAATGCTTATAAAGGAAATTAAAATGATCCTCAGGTAACCACACTCAAGTTTTACTGAAAGTTTTAGTCAGGATTGACAAATCCTTTCAATATTATCTTCCGCCAACCAGTGATCTTAATGTTATCCAATGTAAATAATACAATGATGTCATTCAACTTGAAAGGAACGTAGAAAGAGGGTTTGCCACGCATATGTGCCACACAGGCTTTTCTATTTAGTCTAAATACTAAATAGTCTCCAGAAGCTTCTAATCATCTCATCAGAAACATAAACTCTAGGCAACATATGGGCAGTTACAAACATGGCTGGGTTTAAAGACAATTGTCAGTTTATTTTTAATATATAAACGAAATCTTTCTCAAATCATTATTTCCAGAAATTGGAGTGATACATCCAGTGAGGCAGTAAAACCCCAGCTTTTAATGTTTCCCATAAGCCAACAGACAATAGCCCATTCACACTGGCATGGGAAGAGCATGATCCCATGTAACTTATATAAGCCATAAATGGAACAGTAGCTTCATGCAGATTGAGAGCCAGGACAGCAAGTCCTGCTAAATCTGTTAAATTTCTCAGAGCATGAAAAATATGCAGTCCTCACAACTCCTAAATATATTTATAGCATCTATAATTTCAAACCTTGAGTGTAACAATCTATCGGTTTGTTCCCCACAAGGAACAGGCAGAGTATACACCTAACTAGCTTAACTAGTCTATCTGTATCTGCTGAAATTAATATTTGAGAGATAATATAGTTTATATTCCCTGTGTCAACATTTTTCATCAAGATAGTGGGATATTTACCTTAGGAAGGTTGGTATTATTTCCATGTATTCTAACTTGCCTTGATCTGAAAAGGACCATAGCATCTCAAACCATTCCATAGAAATTATGCTTAATAATCTGGAAAGACATGGGATAACTCTCCATCAAAAGAGTTCAGTAAAGCCTGGCATGGTGGCACAGGCCTTTAATCCAAGCACTTGGGAGGCAGAGGCAGGATGCTCTCTCTGAGAGCCAGCCTGGTCTATATAGCAAGTTCCAGGCCAACTGGGGTTACAGGAAGCCCTGTCTTAAAAAGCAAGCAAACAAAAAGAGTTCAATAAAGAAATTTAAATCAAATTACAAAGCATTAGATGACTAGATTTTCATGATTCCACCCTTTAAAGACATGATTTTTAACCACACCAAATTCAAACATATTATGTGATTCAACTGAATTAGAAGGAAAAGTTTTATATGACAGGCTGATCAGCTTCACATTCTTTATTGAAAAGACTAGCATTCGTATTTTATGTGCTTAATGTGATGTTTATCCCATGAAATCTCAATACCCAGGGAGATTTAAAGAAAGCTGCTTAAATATCTGCTATAAAAAGCCAGAGAGTATTTTCAAGAAGAACTGAAGTTGGAAACAACTCAGATTCATTGAAGGTATGTTGCCTGCATATGAGCACAAGCCTTAATAGTAAAAGACTGGCTGCGACCCAAAACAAATTCTTACAAGTTACCCTTCTGTTCACTCCACCGGCATAAGTAAAAGTGTAAAACTCACAGGTGTGGAATGATTTCACACGCAGTTTTAACAAAAATAAGTGATATTCATTACACTGCAGTACCAAAACCAGAGCTGAGGAGCGCTGGCCTGGTCTCTGTCCCACTTTAAAAATGCGTTTGGGGGCTGGGAGCGGACAGGGTTCGGAAGGGGAAAGAGGAACAGAGGGGAAGGTCTTTTCCCAAGGTGCGACTCCAAAGGAGGCAAGTCAGGTGAAGATAAGCCGGGACAGCATAGCTGAGTGAGAGAGCTATCAACTTCTAGAATTCCTGAACAAGTTAGTGGAAGTGGGTAAAATGCCTGTCAAGGTGTCTGCCCAAGAATAAATAAAACGCCAGAAAGAAAATTACATACTACAAGACAAAGTCACTGCTTAGTTGGCCACAAAAATAAGTGGCCCTTCTGAGAACAAGCTCTCTTTTTCCATTCTGGAAGGCCAGGCGGTGCGCTGACTACCCTTCCACCGGGTCCCCCAGAGTCACCTCACAACGTGGATGACTATTTCATAGAAGCAAAACTAAAACCAACTAGGTTTTTCTCAGCATCTCACCCTCTGCCCCACACCTCTACTTCTGTAGGAAGCCCCTATCGAGTTCCTTATTTAATTTCTACTCTATAAAGTACATTGAGAACTGGGCTCGTATAAGAAAGGGGCGCGAGGGTAGGGGATGCAAGGAAAAGCTACCCGTCGTTTAAATACCTCAGAGATCTAAGAGGAACTTCTACAGTCAAGGTGACTGAGCGCAAAACCATCTTCCATGCAGGGCGGTACCCTCCTAGGCCCCAGGTGTAGATCCAGGAGAGCACAGGACCTGACCCCGCCGGGGCCCTGCACGCAACTGCCGGTTACTCGGTGTTTAATTTGAATCAAAACCCCCATTCTTGAAGACCTGCCCTTTTTATTATGTTTTACACCGCCCCAAAATGAGGTTTACCTCTCACCGGGGGAGAAAAAAAGAAAGCAAGCGGAACACACATATCACAACTTGGTAGCAAAACCCAGTGTCCCGTGCCAGAGGGGCACACTGAGGACAAGCCAGTTTCTTCTGTCAATGCACTTGGCACCCTTGAGGAAATCCAGCTGAAGGGAAGAAGGGGAAGTTGATGGAGGTCCGAAGGGCTCTAAGCTGGAGGTGACTTACATGCTGGCATTACCGCGCAGAGGTCCCCAGAGACCGCAGGCTCATCCTCTACCGCTCCACCGCTCTACTGCCCCCGAGCTGCTCCGAGGGGACCCGGAGGCCGGGCCGCGCCCCGCGGGACCCTTCGTCACACCCTTTCTGGAGAGTTCATAGGGTTTCCCGGCAGCCGCTCCCCGCCCGCGCTCGGGGTGGCGCAAGGTGGACCCGGGAGCGCGCCGCGGAGTTCAAGCGCTGGTCCCGCGCGCCGCAGGTTCCGCCCCGAGTAGAACTTCGCCGAGAGTTTCTGGCAAAGGACTCGGGCGATCTGGGGTGGGAGGGTGCGACCCACAGGGTCTCCAGACGGTGGCGCGGAGCCGGCCTCGGTTTCCCCGCGGGGCTCAGGTGCCGCCCGCTCTGGACTCTGCTCCGCGGGGCCGTCCCAAAGGCGCAGCTGCCCCACCCAGGACCGTCCACCCGCGGGCAGAGGCAAGTCGCCTCGTGGGGCGGGACCGGCGCGGGCGGCGGGGGTGGGAGACTGGCGCGGGGCCAGACGCGGCTCCAGGGCGGGGAGGGGACCCAGCTAGCTGACCCCGAGGTCACCCGCGAGCAGAGCCTGGAGGAGGAAATGAGCCCGGAATGCAGGCGCGCAAGTGGGCATCTCTGCCCCGCACCCCCATGCCTGCCAGGTCCGGCGTCCGCGCCACCCCTTTGTGTCCTTCGATTTACTTTTCAACTTCTACCCAGCTCTCGCCTTCCTCCTAGCCCTCGTCTCCCTGTTTGCATTAAAAAAGAAAGAAAGTTAACAGGGGTTTGGGAGGTTTGAGGAGATTCGCTTACATTACTGCTTTTTTTATCCTCTCCATTTTTTAAAGCAGGGTGGATTTGCCAATGCAAATTCAACTACGCGCTGGGGAAAGTTCCTTGCCTGCTCTGCATGTCTTCAGTTCAACAGCTGCTGTGCAGAGGCATGGACACACCCACTTGCTGATGGCCAGAAGGAAAAGGGCTCAGGCTTCTAAGACGGTCCCTTCACTTTGTGTCTTGCCAAAGTCACAGAATGCTAGAGGCAGCCTTTCAAAGGCCAGATCTGAATACACATCCAGAGCCAAACAACCCCACGCACCGGGAGGCGCAGGCCACACACAGAAACTCCATAAAAGCAGGTTAACCTTGATGGACTGTTTAGAGAAGGGTTGGGGTGGAGAACAGCATTTAGAGTTACAGGCAAAAAGGGATCTGGAAACTGCCGCCCCCCCCGC